GGGACAGCAGTGGCTGTGCTCGGGTGGCTGTGCTGTGGTAACAGTGACTGTGTGACAGTGGCTGGGCTGGGGGGGCTCTGTAGGAGCAGCAGTGGCTGTGCTGGGGTGACTGGCTGTGCCAGAGTACCAGTGGTTGTGCCAGGGTGACTGTGCTGGGTCAGCTGTGTGCTGGATACCAGCTTGCCAGAAGTAGAAAGGGTGGTTGCAGATGCCACCGCCCCACTGCCAGTCTCATGCTTGCTGGCACGAGGTGCTCCATGCTCCTGCCTGCACCATGGATATGTCCCATTGAAAACTGGGAGCCATATCTGCTACTGTCCCCACTGGCAGACACAGTCCTGGGCTTCCATCAGTCCCAGTCACCAGCAAGAGCCCACGCTCCTCCGGCAGCGCCCCAGCACAGCACTCAGGCTCTGGTGCCGCTGACTGCCCAGCTCAGCCTCTCACCCTCCTAGCTCCAGGGCTCTGTTGGAGTTAGTGTTGGCACCGTGGGGTCACGGCACTGTGGGCTGGAACCCCCATGGGCTGAGCTCCCGCCCAGCACTGGAGGCAGCTGCCCACATCTGGCAAACATCTGCTGAGTGGCCCCGTGGCGGGAGCTGCCGGCCGTGCTGCTGCCCGCGGCACTGCCTGTCCTGCCCAGCCCGGCAGCAGGATTAGGGGTGCAGGGATGGTGGTAATCCTGGGATCAGTGTGGCGGCAGCTAATATTAACTCCTGTGCTGCCCACAGCAAGGACAGGCGCCTTGTGGCAGCACGGCGGCTCAGCAGAGCCAGTGGGAGGGTATGGGGCCGGTGTCTCCTGCCCACTCCCCATCCCTCCTTCCCATCCCTGCTCCCCCTTCCCACACGGCAGACCCACAGCAGGGGATTGGCAGCGGCATGATGTGGGCCCCACTGCCACTGTGGTTCCCACCCCAGCAGGCCTAGCTGGCTCCACGGATCCTTTCACCGCTCGCTTTCCAGGCATTACAGCCTATTTGCTGTTTTGGTTTGGTTTTCCCTCTTGCCGCCCCTTCTCTGTCCCCAGCGCGTCCCTCCCTTGGCCTTGGCTGCTGGGGCTCAGCTGGGCGGGGGTCCAGGGCTAACGTCAGCGGGGTGGTGCTGGGGTGGGATAGTCCGGGGGGAGCAGGAGCAGGAGCTGGAGCTGGTGCCTCCTTCCTTCCTTCCCGGCGTAGGAGCCGGGATGTCTTGGCTGCACACCCTCCGGAGGCCGGCTGCCGTCGGGGCATAAGCGGCAGCACAAGGTCAGCCGCCGGCATTGCCTGCGGCGCTGGAAACTTGGCGGGCGCAGTCCTGGCTGCTCCAGCAGCGACGGGGCAGGATGGGACCAGGATGGGCTGCAACCTGACCTCCTGCCCAGCACCATTGTCCTGTGCTGCCTTCCCCTTCCTACACCCGCGCC